ATTTAAAACCAACCAAAAAATAAAGTTATTTTATTATTTGATGGAGAGTAAACAACTCAACGTTTTTTGGGTCAAAATGAATCTATACCCTTTTATTCAAATGAAAACATAAGAAGAATATATACAGCTAATAAGTGTAAGACTATTTTATCAGTCCAACCCAAGTGAGACAATAGAACTGCAAATGGATCAAATTGAACTTGGGTTGGGGTATTTCCGAATCTAACCCAAAACGTAGATTTGAAGCCAATTGGTTTACATATTAGGATACCTGATCAGATTAAAGATTTAAAGCATAAATAGTAAATCTATATGGATCTAGCATATTTAAATTTATAAAAAAAATAATAATAATAAACATGAAAAATATAAATAAAAAAATAAATTTATTAAATCCCAATCCAACTTATCTATATATATATAAATAAATCATGTTTTGAGATCTGATTCAATCCGACATAAACAAATCAAATTTGAATTCAAATTGAATAAAGCCTTGTCCATTTGCCGCCCTACTCAGACAAAACAAAACTACCTCCACTCTCCATGGATCGATGTATAAGAAGAATAAAACCTTTACCACGCATAATGAAAAGGTGTGTGATATTCGGAGATTGGTGAAACGCGACACAAGCATACAAAATGATAGGAAACCTTACCGGTCATGACAGACATATAAGCAACTTCAAATTGTAGTCATCACAAAAACCACCATCTCATAATTAATTTATCATTTTCAGACTAACTTTGTCGCTATCACTTCACTTTTAGTACTCCAGCGTGATAATTGCCATCATCTATCATCCTCATCCTCCTCATCAATGACATCCTTATTCTTACTATTCTTTGTGTTACTTCATAGTAGTAGTACTGGCCATAGTGCTGCCGCTGGTGTTGATGGGAAGAAACATTATATAAAAATCGGTGTTCTAAGATGGATGGGGTCTTTCTCCTAAACCAATTTAAGTCTTAGTAGGGGTGAGTATGGTTCAGTTCGGTTTGGTTTCATGGAAGAATTTGGGTCTATGATTTTGGAATTGAAACCTACACCGTAAAGGTTGGTTTCATGGTCAGTTTTGGGATTGGTTCTAGGGTCTATTCATGAAACCTGTTCTTTTTTACTCTCCCCTTCTAAAAAAATGAAACATGTCTTTTAAAAACTTGATTTTCAATAATGATAATATATAGATTAAAACTTATATTATCTTTATCGATTAAATTGAGTAATTTAATATATAGATTATCATAATATATTAATGTACGGTTCAAATTTTTGTCATTAAAATTTAAATTTTGTAAATATTACCTTTTACATTTTTTATTATACACATTCAGATATTAAAATGAAAACAAATGATCAAATCACTTAAATAACTCAATGGTCAAGTGAGACCATGGCTTTTTGTAATCATGAGCGTTTGAGTTCAAATCATTACATCTTTAAAAATATTTTGGGGTTTGTTTCATGATAAATTTAGTTCCAAGACCAGTTCCACAAAGGCTGGTTCATCAAGTCGGTTGTGATAGAATAAACCCCTAGACCTTGAAATCGACCTAAATGGGGGTTGGTTTCAAAAATTTGGAATCAGACCCTATCCTTTAACAGATTAGATAGAATTGGTCCAAGGCCATTTCGAGACCAGTTCCAAGTAAAACCTACCCATTTGCTCACCCCTAATCTTAAGGATAATGTTAAAGACTAGTGTACGCCTCCCACTCACTTGAAAAATCCATGAAGCTATTAGGTGAAAGCCCCAAATCATTTACATTAAGCTAGAAATCAACTTTTCAGTGAAGCTAATTTTGGCTTCTTCGATGCTAGTATGCCACCGGCCACCCAGTGCAGCTCAAACTCAATCAATGCTCTCCCAAGCGGACCCTACATTTGGTCAGAATGAGTTGGAGTTAAAAGCCCATTTTCCATTGACAACCCATTCACGATTTTTATCAACACGTCAGCCATGGGCCCATGGCCTACCTAAAACCTAATAGTTTCACTGTCATCTGATTGGGCCTTTTTTACAAGCTTATTAAGTTTGACGTGGGCCCTGTTTATAGATTCCCAAATCCCAACCCCAAGTGATGTGATTGCGCAAAACCAGGTCGCTAAATCCGGTATGGATTTATAGTCGTATAATAGACACTTCTCTGAACGCTGGCTCGACGCTCTTGACGGCCCATGACCCATGCAGATTGCAGAGCTGCTCTGCTCATACCCGGGCAGTGAAACACGTTGAGCCTTACAGCCTTCGCAGAGCCCCGGCCAACTTTTGGCGGAAGTGGACGTCTTAAGCTGCAATTCTCCAAGTTTGCATGTTGCTTTGGATCAGAAAGCAGTTATGTCACCTCCCATTTGAGAAAGCAAACAACGTAGTCCTTGGGTCTAGGGATAATACCTTGGGAAGGAGAGGCATAAAATGGGGTCCACCTCTATAATCTATTAGCTACAGAACCTTTCCCCATTTCCTCAGAACCTAACAATTCATTTCTGAACTCAAACCTAGCCTATCCCAGATAACTGGACTGGACTAGGCCCAGCATGACCCAACCAATGGGTTTGATATACAAGTCCGACATGGTTCCAAGAAGGGGCCCAATTGGACCACTGGACTCAAAGCCCACTGCCTAGATCATATACAACAACTGAACTGAATCATAAATTCAATTACAGACATAAAATGCATGCAAAGCCAGATTGTGGGATGGACACCGAGAACTCCGGATCTCCTGCCCACGATAACTCTGCGCATGTCTATCCATAACACATTACCTTTGTGAATTGGGAACATCTCCTCGTATAATATTATGTAGGAGGATGAGATGTTCTCCATGTATGACTGTGATGTTATGTGGGTACACATAGGCAGAGTTTGTGTGGACAGAAGATCCGGACCAAGGGCCTTTACATCTGTAGCCCTGCCCAGCTTGGACTTGACTTGAGTGGGTTTGAAGCCAAGCTAAGTTGGATTTTCTGTGCCGTCAAAGCTTAGGCCCAGCCCAACTAGGCCGAGCCAGCTGGGCTGCCATTTGTTACCCCTAAATAATTTTCTGAAGCACTTTTCAAGTTCAATATGTTTTTTTCACTTATATCTACATCCCATAACGGAGAAAATCAACTGATGTGGGCCGGGCTGGGCTTACGAGTTGAGCATGTCTTCACCTTTTGGTGTGGGCAGCATATACCAGTGTGCACACTATGTGCATTGTCAGACTTATAAATACCTAAAATGCCTTTATCTTGATTTAGGGGACAATTTTATCATTTATCCCTTTTATACCAATTTAATATCACTAAGGCCTTGTTTGTTTTTCAAGAATCTATTTTCCTGGGTAAATACATTTATCCATGATCTTTTTTGTTTAATTTATTCGGGTAAATGTATTTTGTATAGACATTTTTTACCATTTCAATTTCTTTTTTTCATCTATCATCTACTTGGGAAATTGAGAAGGATATCACTTACCTAAGTAAATGACATCTGGAAAAATCAATTTTACCATGAATCTCACATGTTTATTGTATAAGAACATGGGTAAATTAGTCAATGGAAACCACAATCACATTGACCAACTTCACCCCTCCCCCCTCGTCCCTTCCTTTCAAAATCCCAAAAACGAACAGGACCTAAAAGAGATGTTCTGATAATGAATGATCTTCTAGGCAAAGATCTTGACCATTCAACTCAAGCCTCAAGATAAATCAAACACGAGAATCCAAGCGATGTGCGATGGTTTCCAGTAATCTAGGTTATGGAAGTGATATGATGCCCTGACATATCCAAATTTTAAAATGAAAACACCATGTAAATAATGTATGAAATTAACCTACCTGGACCCTCAAAGTGATCTCTTAGGCTCTATTTGGAAGGAGTACAAATATAAAGCGCAAAACCTTATATTTTGTATGAATTTATACTGTACATATTTGTATTTGTTCTCCTTCCAAACTAAGCTTTTAAGAGCAATGCATTAATCTCAACCATTCAACTAACAACCCCTCCGAACATGGAGGCGTGGGATCAAACATAAGTGAACACAGGCTCTCTGTAGTAAGGTCATGGACTTCATGTGCCCACTCCCTTAATCCCCCCTGTCTCATGTGAAATATGTCATAGCACAAAAAAAGAAAAAGGAAAAAAGGGACATGTAGAGGACCTCCTATACATGGTTTAGATTGAACGAGGACCAATAAATAAATAAGTAGAGATTTCATTTTAAAGGTTAAAATTTCAAAAACCTAATTTTTCTATTTTTAAATATCCAAAGTTATCTTGATAAATTATAAAATAAATCTGAAACTTCACAAGGAAAATTTCGAATGTAACATTTAAATAAATAAATTTTTTATAAGTACTTATTTATTCTAATTCTGTTTATGATAACATTTAAGTACTTAAATAGAAATACTATTTTTTTAATAAAATTTAAGATGGGAGTAAAGTTAGGGGCTAAAAAATATTATTGGTTTTGCTTTATTTATAAAAACAGAAACGACTTCCAAATCAGCAAAAGCCGATATGAGATCAATTATGATGTAAAGGCAATATCAGTTCCCGAGTTGAACATTTTACACTGTATTAGGCCTGGGCCGGGCCCATTTAAAATTTTAAGAAAGCTCAACCCCGCCCAAATGCCAAATTGCAACCCTGGTAAAAATCAGTGTAGCAGAAGAGAAGAAAAGGGTCTCAATTGGCGGGCTTCCCCGAGCCAGACTTATCTATCCATGAGTCCACGACTTCACGAGCAGAGAGTTGAAGTCTGAACTCTGAAGAGATTTTCTTTTATTTATTTCTTCACGTCACGCCTTTCCACTTTCCAGTTCCCCAAAAATATGAACCACCACCGGGTCCCACCAACAATGGGGAAAAAATGCTCTTTCTTATGCCCACAATCAATGAATCGCGTCGGGTTTGATTTAAATTCCCCAGCAGGAGGTTTGTGGACTTGACTAGACTGGAATACCTCATGGGCTCATCACTCGACACTCATGGACTCCAAATTTCGTGGATGATCATGAGACCATAGAAGACAGATCCGTGGAACATGGAATGATCAGACGGACGGCCGTAATCGCCTTATCTTTCTCTGAACAGGAAAACATTAACACGGGGACGGGGCCCATCTAATTAATGTAGGTAACGTTCTAGGAAGTTACGGTTTATGGACAACCAAACGGTTAGAGCCTAGAGGCCAGTAGACAGTAGTAGTGGTAGATCATCATCGTAAGTTGTAAGTTTTAACTAGACCTGTCTGAATTAGACACCGACGTCTCCATGAAGTGAAACTTCGCCGCTTCTCGTTCTTTGATTGGGCTTCATGTGATGTGGTACTGACTAATAATTCTCCTTCTAGATTTTTAATGCTCGAACTATTCCTTTACCGAGCATAGACTTCTTGAAAATTCGTCTATGCTCTGTTTCTCGTCTCCTAAACTGACCTTGTTTTGCTTGAAAACTTACAACACATTGTTGACGAGTTGTTGCTCAGGGTGTGAATAGAGAAAGAGACTGGTTTCAACTTTCAATGTGGGTTTATTAAAAAATGGCAAGAAACTGGAAGAGGGATTTCTATGTTACAGAGGTTGTGGAGTTCTTCAACCATTTGATGGGTGAAAGGCCTCTCTTTTCTTTTCTTCTTCTCTTGGTGCTACTTGCATGGGCTGTTGAAAGATGGGTCTTACCGTTCTCGAATTGGGCCACTATAGCTGTCACTATCTGGGCAACGCTTCAGGTCTGTTCTTCTGTGGATTTATTTGTTTCTGTACCGAAATGAGTTGCTGTTCGATGTTTTCAGTTGCATTAATTGTGTTTTTGTTTCTCCCCGTATACTTAGTTGGTTTTAGAGAACTAGGTATTGAGCTTTCTATTTTGTTCTGGGGAAATTAATCAGCTTCTATGGTTTTCGAGTCCAAACCGTTTCTACTTATTGGCTGGAATGTGCATTTTATTATTGGAATTCTACTGTTTAATTTAGACTGTCGGTTTCGACTTTCCTATCTCTTATTATTCTTTCATAGTTTCATGTGTACCTTAGGTGCCCCTGGTTTAGTTGCTATTCTGGTTTCATCACAGTTCTAACTCTTATTCAATTGGAGTCTAGTTGCTTCTTTCTCCTAATCACTGACTGGTTTTTGTACTTTTTTTCTTGCACTGTGCTCCTGAATTTCCTAAAGTGGGTGCTAACAGTTATTATTGCCTTCTAGTCGGCCTTTCAGATTCAGAATCTCGTGTAACCTGCATGGTTATAACTTATCATTTCAATGCTTCTAGGCTCCTAAGAGTTTTGAATTTGCATATCTAAGGCTTCTAGAACGATGCCCATTCTAAAAGGGTAATGCAACTACAATGGAGTTGTGCGGATGTTCTCTCCTTTATTCTCCTGTAGGAGTTCTTTGGATTATTAACCTAGGTATAGCCATATAACTTTGCCGCCTGAAAACCCTACCCCCAGGAAGTTGTCAAGCATTCAGTCTGATTGGTATGTACTGAGTCTAATGTTTTTTTATCAAAAGTTTAAAACTTGGCTCACAGTTTGTAATTTTGCAAAAGAAAAATAATAAATGGTTTAGATTTTCAGGTCACCCTCTTATTATCACACATACAGACATCTTTTTATTACTGTTTATTTGAAGTGTTCTGGAACCCAACCAGTATTCAATTGTCTACTTATATGAGTAGCCTTGGAGGGAAACACGATTGAAATAAATTATTTATAAAAAAAAAAAACAAGATTGAAATAAATTTCAAAGGTTCAATTCTAGTATCCTTTCTCACGTAAAGTTGTAAATGCTTCATATATGATGTGACACTAAAGGTTTTACAGAAATAACTAATAAGAATGAATGAAGACTTAGATTAAAAGCAATTTTCTGGAACTTCTTCAGCCCAGTGTTCCATGGACGCAGACACTAATTCAGAATCTGGTACATAACCAAGAGTCTGACACGGAAAAACAAGAAAACATGGACTTACAGGCACATCTAGATAGAAGTATAATACTATTAAAATATTGGGTAAATCTATGATGCCAGAAAGGTATGATACTGGAAGAGCTTTGACCAATCAAAACCTCCATGGATTTTGTTGAAAACCACTTTATTAGTTGCCACTTTTATGATACCAGTCAATTGGTTATAAGTTTTTCCAATATCATAGCCAAAACCCTAAAATATTTCATATTTTCTGAACTCTAACATTATATATATATATATATATATATATAAGAGGGGTCTAAATGTTGCCTTGTTACCAAGTAACATTTTATAAGAAAAATGGCACTCATCTCATACATTAGCTGTTCATTTATTTCAAGTAAGCTAGGAGAAGAAAAGGAAATATTGCATAGAATTGTCTCTCAAGAATCCATGGAGTATTATTTATCAAAAAAAAAAAAAAGAATCTGTTGAGTATTGGAACCTAAGACATGATCTGGCAAGGACACATTTTCCATTTAGGAGAGACCATGCAAATCTGCTTGAGGTTGAAGATGACAAGATTGAATAAGTAGTCATATACAGAATATATCCTGTGCGTGTAGTCAATTGTATCTATGGGAGAGAATTGAGAAACCAACTATAGTATCAGCTTATAAATCAAAACCTGTAATTAATTTGTTGGCCATGCTTTATGGAAGATACATAATGCATTATGTTGTGTATATGTTTCTTCATTTGACTGATACTGGCTCAACAAAATTCTACATTAAAATTATTGCTTAACTAACAGCTTTTCTTCAGCTTTGGTCATAACCTGGGCACATTCTTTGCTGTGGATTGCAAGAATGAAAATTTTGAACAGATAAAGAAGCCTGTTTTGGCTCGATGCTTCTCTGAGGTAGCTCCTAGTTGATTCTACCTCTTGGTAACCTCAGACTATTTCTTCATTTTTTCAATGGTAATCTTAAATCCTTCATAAATCGAACATAAGGATCATGCCCTAATATGGGGAGCGTTTTTTAATTGATTCCAAAAATCACTATAGGGTAGCAAGTTCCAATCTTCCCTAAAGTATACCTACCAAAAGAATTGTGGTTTCTCTGACTCTCTATATCATGTTGGTGTATAATCTGGAAGAAAACCTACAATCTTGTGGTTTCTATTCATTATGCCAACCAATTTGAACCCAAAAAGAAAGATCAATATATTAAAACTCAAAACTGCCCCTTGTAATGAGAGCTTGACCCGCTCAGACAGGTATGTATTTCCATATGATTAGTTATAACAAACTTGGTTGACAGATTGAGTATTTTGGTCCTCTGAAACCAATATGTTGTATATTTCACAGGCAGAAGTAGATGCAGAGGTTGAAACAAGACAAGAAGGGCAAAAAAGACTTGAGATGTGCAAAATAAGTCCAAGAAAGAGAAAGAAACTGAAGCAATTAATCCTGCAAAACCCTAATCACCAAGACCAGCACCACTTTAGAATAAACTATAAAAGCACTGATACCGTTCTAAAATAAAACCTCAAAAAAATTACTTGGGACAAGAATACTACATGTTTCTGACTTCTCATGAGCTTATCCCAATGCACAGAAGGGTACAATATCACAATTAGAGAATTCTGAATTCCCTCAAAAGGGGACATTGCTTGGTCCAATGGTAACATCCTGGGATGCCAAGTGTGAGAACTACGGTTTGCATGTGAGAGCACCAGAGCAGCTTGTCCATTGCCAGAGATAACCAGTTCACCCCTCTCAAGACCCTGGATAGCAGAGACCAGCATTGGGTAATGATCTGTCCTATTCCCTCAAAAACCCCTAATTTCTTGCTAGCATCCAGAACCTCCTTGACTACCTTCTTTTGAACCGAGGCCCTACAAGAACCATCTTCCTTATTGTAGCAATAGTCACAATAAGAATGTGGTGATTGAGGGAAAGAAGAGGTCAGGAACCTCCTGATCAATTAGACAAACTATATGAGTTATATGTCCTCAATGATTCAGAACCTTCATCTGCCACATGCACTCCCTTCTTCCTAAGAGTTATGAGAGCCTTATTCATACCCTTTTGATGATGGGCGTTTAACAAGGTAAACAAAACATTGCTGCATAGACATATTTAGGGGTTTAAGAATCTTCTCAAGTGGTAGATAAACTAGGGGTTTTAGACATTTCAACCTCTTAAAGTAATAAGTGTGTGTATACCTATTTTTAATTTCCTCGGTTGCCTCTGATATGTTATAGGAGTTATGGCGAGTCTTCTAATTTATTTTCCTGCTTACTGCATCTCATTTTCCAAATTTTCAAGTTTAGTAAAGAGAGAAAATAGAAATTTAGTTTACATGGAGCAAAATGTAAGATGTAAGTTTCATTGCTTGCAGTATGGGAGCTATCAAAAGTGGCTTTTTGTAGAAGACCTGAACAAAAGATGGAAGCAAACCATATTGAAAACATTGGTACCTTTTTATAGGATTATAATCTTTTAAGTATGTTCCTTCTTCCGTTCACATGAATCTTACTTATTTTTTCTTTTTCACAAATTTACAGCCCATGACACCATTAGAGCACTGTGAGTGGCTGAACAAGCTTTTGATGGAAATTTGGTCAAATTTTATTAACCCAAAACTTTCTAAAATGTTCTCTTCTGTTGTTGAGGTTAGTTTCAATAAGTTTTTAGGACTGATTTTTTTCCTTTTTATTCCTCATTTTTATTAAAGATATATTCTCAGTCTTAGCTCAGTGTGACAGTACATGCTGAAACTGAAAGTAGATGTTTAAAGTGCATTCCAGTTCCAAGGATTTGGATGAATTATGGTTTGAAAATAAATTAAGTAGAAATAAATATAACTTTCCTGTGTGAAGCATTGTTTCTTTTTTTTTTTTATAAGTAAAAGAAAAATTTTATTAAAGAGAAAACAATAAAGGATTACATCCAAAACAGGTGTTAAGATAACACCCCACAAACGTGAAGCATTGTTAAGCCTGCTTGGTCATACCAGCACTAATGCACCAGATCCCATCAGAATTCCAAAGTTAAGCGTGCTTGGGCGAGAGTAGTACTAGGATGGATGAAGCATTGTTTCATCATTCAAGCATGTTACTGATGTAAATGCTTGCAAATTTCACAATCTAAATTTCAGATGTCTGGTAAATGTAGAATTATATTTTTGTTTTATTATGATGATTAAAATGCTTTAGTCAGTTTTTGTAGTTCTTCAGACATCTGATGTAAACATCTCATGTAAACATTTAGTCAATTTAGTCAGTTTTTGTACTGAACAAATGTAATATTTGGTTGGAGTTTCTCATCCTACCTTTTTAACATTCTCATGTAAACATCTTTCTTTTCTTTCTGGGGAACCTTTTAGTACATGCATGGTCATATATTATTGCTGGTCAAAAGACAATGAAGTCTGAAAAACGTCATCTATATTTTCCAAAATTCATATATTTCTTTAGTATTTTGTGCATGGATGAATGTATTTCACTCTCTTTGTTTCTGGGCTCTGTCAATTACCATACCTCTCCTCAAAGAAAAAGAAAAAGGGAAAAGGAAACATCTATAGGGTTTAAAAGAAAGTATATCCTCTTTCCCATTCCACCCCTGGTTTAAAGTATTTCCTTTACAAATACTGACAAAGGGATATTTAAAAATATTTGCCTTTTTATATAATTTACTTTTCTGAATGGTTTACATAGTTTATTGTCTTGTTTATTGGAAACATTCTCATGCTTTTTGCAATGGCTGTATATGGATAAATAACAATAAGGTCCTCAAGTTTTACCCTCATATGATAGCTTGTTTTATATCATTACACATACAACTAACATCTGTAAAATACCAAAAATAAAACATCTGTAAAATAATGCATGGTGTGAAGGGTAAAACATTTTCTTCTACTGCATCTCTCTCTCTCTTTCTGATCAATAGTGTAACTATTTATTAAGCATCTTAGAATGTGGGAATTGTACATGTGCACTATAAGAACAACACAAGAGAGTCCAAAGAGGATCCCTAACCCAGTCTTCAAATAAGACTATCCCAACATACCAAACCCTCGTTTGCATCATTCTTTCTTCTCTAGGAAATAAAAACTCCTCAATACAGTTCTCTTCCATTCATCCTAGAAGCAAGAGCTCTAGCTTATCTAATACAGTGTCACATTTTCCAAGGTTCTTCTGCCTCATTGTTCATCCAGCCAATAACCACCTGAAAATCTTCTTCTATTTCTTTGGAAATGCAATGGATACATGAAAATATCAACCTTTGTAATAAGGCTAGGACTTAGCTTTAATTGCTGTCCCAAAACCAGCTGATCCTGAACAAACACAAAGTATTCCTCCATTTGAGTATCTAAAAATACCCCTACTCCTCAATTCATTAAATCTCCCAAAAAGCAAGCATCAAAATTTAATCTGGCTTAACCAAAAAAATAATAATTTGACAGATAATGAGGGGACCAGATCTGAACATGAGGCTGTCGTCTAGTGAAGGCTCTAGAAACCCTAGATCATGCCACTTTCATTTGAATAATAGTTTAATATTTCATCATTGTTTCTATATGATTCTTCGTTTAGAAAATTTTAGCATTCCTCTCCTCCCAAATTAATAAACCAAAGAAGATATGCTCTGATAAGTTTTGCCATGGTTTTCTTGTTTTTTGTAGATTGGGTGAAGCATGTTGAAGCAAAAATGTTGGAATATCACCTAGAACATACCACAGTCTAAAAGGGACAAAAAGCATTCCCAAATTATAGAAGTTGATGAGGGCAGATTTAGCCCTCCACTAACATCATGACACATGGCATCTCGGAACAACTGGGTGACTCCCAGAACCACCTAGGCGACAACTTGCCTTAGCCAAAATGATGGAGTCCCAGCTAGCGACCTGGCACTGTCGCCGACCTGGCCACCTGCCTCTGGCGCCGACTTGGCGTTTTGCCTCTGGTGGCGACCTGGTGACCTGCCTCTAGCGCCGACTTGGCGACCTGCCTTTAGCGCCGACCTGGCGACCTGCCTCCACTCCCAACCTAGTAGAAATCTAGCTAGCGACCTCGACGTGGGGGGCGACCTCCCTCGAGGGCTTGCTGACCTAGTTGAGGTCCAAGTGGTGACCTACGAGACATGCTCACCGTCGATTTCTGCATGCATCCCATCACTCCCGAGTCTCTCGGAAGTCAGCTCTCACACCGAATGTTTTGGGAGAAATCGAGTAAGGCACAAAGATTGGCCTACGTGCACAACTACCTCCAAGGACTTTGGAGCAGTTAGACACGTCCTCCCAGAGATTCCGAACGTGTTGCGTGATGCTCACGCCAAACAATGCCTATATAAAGGCCTTACCTCCAACTCCAGGGCGGAGATGCGCAATTTAGTTCTCGCAGCTCTCCAGCTCTCTCACATTTAGTTATCTTAAAATCTCTGATTCGCTAACTTAAGCATCGGAGTGCCCACCCCGGGTAAAGCAACCCGGGCACTCTGACACTGTGTCCTTGCAGGTCGCATCAGAGCCACCTCTCCAACTCGTCACCACTCAGCTAGACATCAGAGCCACTTCTTCAGCTCGTCACCATTCAGTTAGGCGTTAGAGCCACCTCTCCAGCTCGTCACCATTCAGCTAGGCGTCCAAGCCACCTTCCAAGTAGGAACCATTCAGCTAGGTATCCAAGCCACATTCTAGGTAGGGATTATTTAGCCAGGCATCCGAGTCACCTGGCAGCCGGGAGCTACCGAAATGCGCGTTATCAATTGGCGCCATCTGTGGGAAATGCTACAAAAGGCTATTTTCTCACCCGATTCTCTGAGCTTCAAGTAATAACATCTTCAAGCAACAACAACAACGCTTGATCGAAAGAACCCCCTAGTGGGGGCAGAAGCAAAATGATTAGCCCAGACGAGTTCTCGCAGTCTTGCCCTGACAGAATCTCCCTAACTGTGAGGCCACCCCCATATGTCGAGCTCTACGTGCTCTCTGCAAGAGTTGACGGCCAATAGAATGTGAGGCCACCCCATAGGTTGAGCCCTCTGTTGTTCCCGTGGGAGTTGATAGCCAACAAACTGTGAGGTTGCGCCGCAGATCGAGCCCTCCATGCTTTACGTGGGAGTTGATGGCCAACAGGTTGTGGAGCCGCCCTCGCAGGTTAGTCTTGCCGAGGTGACGAGGTGTCTATAGGCTGAGGTGTTGAGAGCAAAACTAGACTATCAAAATTTTGATGACCTGGCGACCTAGAAACCTGCCTCCGAACTGGCGACCTGCTTCCGCCAACCTGGCGATACACGTAATCAGCCTGGACGAGCCTTGTCAGCCTTGTTCACGAGGTCGTCCCTACAGGTCGAGCCCTTTGTGGCTCCCGCAGGAGTCGGCGGCCAGCAGGCTGCAATCGCCCTTGCGGGTTGAGCCTTTCAAGGTTCCCATGCGAGCTGGCAACTTGCAGTTTGTAAAGCTATCCCCGCAGGTTGAGCTCCTTGTGGCTTATCGTAGGAGTAGGCGACCAGCACCTTAAAGGACTGATACAGCGTAGTCGTGGCACCGACCGCTATTTAAATTCCAACATCGACACACATATCACAAGGGGAAGCCAAACTGCCTTCCGCATCAAGGACCCCTAAGCCGACCTCAAAATATGTTGGCGACAGGTCTAAGGACCTACAACGAAGCACAAATCTACTCCCTTCGCTGAGATGATCTCAACTCGGGAGTGGAGGGCAATTGATGAGGGCAGATTTGGCCCTCCACCAACATCATGGCACATTGTCACGGGGATAATCGTTGGGGCCCCGTGCGGCACTCGAAAGGGGCGAGTAAGCCTATGCAACAAAGCAAACACACACAAAAAGGCAACAAGATGGAACAC